TGCCAGATGACATGGCTACAAAGTCCATAGAATTCTGCTGGTTACCACCCGTAGGCCTGTTGTTTTCTACTGGTTGACCTTGCCTTTACAAACTGGATTTTGACAAGCTTCATTGATATTTTATTCCCTATCCGTGGTTGTTCTCTAGTGACCCCTTAGTACTAGAGCTACAAGGGATGAAAATCTCTTCCTGGAGCCAGAGTGGGATGTAGTAGGAAGGCTTTCTGGGGAATATTAATTCAATTTTAACCTTGTTCAGTTTTCAGTTTTTAGATACACAAGTTGAAAGGATAGAAAAGGGCATACTGGGAATGAGGGATGATACATTGAGATAGAAAGGTAGATCTGAAGTCTCTTGAAGACAACCTGAGTCCTAGGATAATAATCTAAGCTTTCTAAACCTTTTTTTTTAAGATAATAATTTAAGCCTTTTCTAAAGGGAGAGAGCAATAGAATCCAGAAATAATAATGATTACTATTTACTTATTGAGCATTTAATAAATGCCAGGTATTTAATATATGTTAGTTAGCTCTTTTAATCCCAAAGTTTCTGTGAGGTTGGTCAGTTTGTTCTGAAGTCATGGCATTAATAAGTTGGGGAGGGTATAGCTCAGTGGTAGAGCTCGTGCTTAGCACCCACGAGGTCCTGGATTCAATCCCCAGTACCTCCATTAATATAATATAATATAATATAATATAATATAATATAATATAATATAATATAATATAATATAATACAATATAATATAAATAAACCTAATTACCTTCCCCCCAAAATAAACAAAAAACAAAAACAATGTCACAGCATTAGTAAGTAAGAGAAAGAGGTTTTGAGCCCATATATGACTCTGAAGCCTGTGCTCTTAACCACTAAGCTATATAAGAATAGAGGTTGAAACTTCGTTCTTGAGGAATGAATTTATGCATTTCTTTTCTATCTGCAGACTCTCATTTTCCATTCTTTGAGTCATCTTAAGTGGCTAACTGAAACCTGAAATTAAACCATTCTTTAGCATTAGAGAAAAGAAAAATCACCTGGAGCTTGTTAAAGTGCAGATTCCTTAACCCCTTCCTCATTGTGATTCAGCGTATCTGGAGTATGGCCCAATAAGCTGCGTGTTAAAATAAACATACCAAAGTGATTCCACCCTCATGATTAGAGTTCCATAGTTTGAAACATATTGCCCTAAATACTGGCAAGGTTAGGATGAAATTTAACATACTCTCATACATTTTTACTTTGTCAAGGCTTGAAAAATGATATATATTTTATATGGAGCTGTAAATAGAGTTAGATTTTGCATAGAATACTATAGAAATTAGATGTATGGTAACTACTTGGTGTAATCAGAGAATGTTAGTGCTAATAAGCAGTGTAACTTACTCTTTTTTTTTTTTTTGAGGGGGGAGGTAATTAGGTTTACTTATTTTATTTTTAGAGGCGATACTGGGGCTTAAACCCAGGACCTTGTGTATGCTAAGCATGAGCTATACCTTTCCCCCCAGTGTAACTTACTCTTGACTGTGTTTGTTTCATTTTACTTGAAGTATGTTCCTCTTTCTTCAGAGTGAAACATACTTTAAAAAATCCCTATCACTTTCTTTTCTCCAAAATAGCTTTTTATCGTAAGGAAAAGTAGCTTATCTTAGTGATTCTCAACCTCTTGTCCCTGCTCCTGCATTTTAAAGGGATCCTTACTCCCATCTCTGACAATGTCTCCCTGCTACCATGATTCTCAGCTGAGGTGGGACGTGGAGTCTTTATCAGAATCTGTGCAGAGGAGAGGAGACATACAGTCCTCAAAACTCATTTTATGTCTTCAGAAATTATTATCTTTAATACTTCTGAAACATATCCCACCCCAATTTCTGAGCTCATGTGGCTTCCCTGAATACTTAAAAGTAGAGAAAGGGTTGCTGGGAGGAAATAATTGTAATAGCTTATATAAATACATAAGGAGCTTGAAAAAGAAAGCCTGCCGATACCTAGTGTTAACTAATAACATTGAATTCTGTTTTCTTCTTTCCTTTTGTTCCTTCAGGGGTTTCCTGTAAGTTCCTCAGGAGTATGCACTGTATCTTCCTTTACTTTCAGTTATTGTTTTTGTTGTTTTTTGTAGTAGAAGTGTTTAAGGTGTTCTTTTTTTTTCTTTCATATCCAGTCCTGTTTCCTTGTAGGTGTCCATTCTTTGCAGGACAAGAGGATTTTTCTTTCCCTCTGTGGCAAGTTAGTTTTTAGAGAATAGGAGCCGTTATAGAAAACTTTTTTTTTTCCAGAGAATAAAATTGGTTCGTACTAAGTAAATGCTGATTAAATTTTTTTTTATGAATTAAAATCAGTAAAAATATGAGTAAGGGTCTGGGATTTTAGTTTACCCTATTTAGAAGCTAATAATTAGCCTGCTGCATTTCATGGATGCTGGCAGAAAACGAGACTCCTGGGTCAGACAAAGGATTTTGTTACTCATAGCCCAGCAAGAATCATAAACAGAGGTTTGCATTAGTTCCCTTTACCCCCACAAGTCCCATAGGAGTGATATGAATGGGCCCAGGTGAATGCCTGTCCATGTGTTAACCGGAGTGGAACATTGAGCTTGGGGAATCCATTGCTTTTATAGTAAGTTGTAAGCAAGCCTGCTCTTTGTCCTGGCGGGACATCCTTCAAAGGTCTTCATCCTTCAAAGCTGCTGTAGGCAAACACAATCCTGAGAAGTGACCTGGGTAAGGAGTGGTCAGGGTCATGTGTTTTGTGTTTTTCTTACCTACCTAGACATGTAGGAGTATAAGAGAGCCATGGAGGAGTAACTCTCCCAACAGTTAGTATATACAATAGATAATTGATAGAAATCTTAGATTTATTATGAAATATTTGCCATCCAAAGAGGTATAGAGACTAATATAATGAACAGTTATATGGTCACCTCCCAACATAAGAAATAAGCATTGTTCATACAGGTGAAGCTTCTGTAGGCCCCTCCCGCAGTCCTACAGGTAAGCACTTCCTGAGTTTGTTGTTATCATGACAGTGCATTCCTATGTATCACTTAATATTATACAGTATTATTTTATATATTTATAAGCTTCTGAAATTTTTACTCTCATTTAAAAATTGTTACAGAGCCTTTTTACATAGTACGTGTTAGCCGCTGTAGAAAAAATTTGTAAGGTTAAAGCTCTTGCACACCATGATCTTATGGTCCAGTTAAAAACAACAACACTGAAAATGCTCAGTAAAAGGAAAGGATATGTGTGAAAAAATAAAAATTGGTAAACAACATATAACTCTAAAGTCAGCTATTAGCATCTAGTATGTATAAGAGCTAACTGTAGTTATGGATGGAAGGAGAAATATAATTCATTCTTGGGATAGAAAATAGTGACGGTTAGAGGCAACAGTGGGAAATTACAGGGATGAGATTCATCTAGACAATTTGTCATATAGGAGAGAGGGTAAGGCAATAAGGAACTGGCCTTATTAAATTGATCCAGCCAGAAAGATGAGAGAAGGGGGCTGGCAGTAGTCAGTCAGTAGGGTAGGCAGCTAAGAGGTATGTAGGCCCAGCATTCTGTCAGGTAACCGTTTTGATTAGGAAGGTTGGCTAAGACTAAGCCCTCACCTAAAGCTGGCTTAACATCTAATTGCATAGGGATGGTTACATATGTGAGAATTAAAGAACATCCTAAGGTCCTCTGTGATCATGACCTAAATGTGTGTTACAGATTCCAGGGATATAGAAGGAAAGAGTTTAATATGAGTTGCAGCAGCTGGGGAAAGAAAGCCTGGATAAGAAGTCATGAGCTGGGCCTTGAATGGCAACTCATGAAAGGGACGTTCTAGGGAAAGGAGTGGGTGACGAGAGCACATGAGCAGAGACTGGGGACAGTGCATGTGGAATAGTGAGAAGACTGCCTGTGTGAATTGTTTTTGTCCAAGCCACTTGATCTGTAGTTTCCTGTGGTCTGGATTTTGCTGATTGCTTACTTATGGTGCAATTCAGCAGTTTTCTTCAGTCTTCTGTGTTTCCTGCAGGTTAGCAGCTAGACTCAGTAGCATGATGAGATTCAGGTTCAGTCCCTTTGGCAAGGCTATGGGTGGTTGTATGTTCTTTTATCACATCAGTAAAGGTATGTGTAAGGGTCTGGAGTTTCACTTTATCCTACTTAACAAGCTGATAATTAGCCTGTTACTGTTTTATGTTCTAACTTCATAGAGCTTCCTCTTCTGTTTCAAGTAGTGTTAAAAAAAATATAACAACTTGCTTTGTGAGGTGTCCTGGTCTGTTGCCCTCTCCACCCTGTCTCACTTTTATTTGGACCATATCTTTTCTTCATTTCTGTCTTACTCAGTTTGGATTCCTCGCCTAGCAGTTTCTTCTCGATGTGGGGACCCTGTCCTAGGAAGGAGCCTTGGTTAGTTTCATGAGTTTATAGGGTTAGACTGCTTCAGCTCCTTTGGGACAAGGCCCCTTCAGTTTCAGTTGCTATTCTCAGATTGGCCCGCATCGCTTTTCATTTAGTACTTGGTTATCTTGGGGTTATTCTGTTCTCTGGTCCGACAGATGCCCTATTGTTTTCCTCTCCTGATCTGCACAGCTGCTTGTCTTGTGGATGTTGATGCTTTTTCCTCTGCTGCTTGTATAAGGGGGTTTATGAGGGTGCTTTATCTTCTGGTTTTGTGTTAAATGTTATCCGTGAGTTTTTCAGTTGTTATCTAGTTGCTCTGTCTTTATGTGAGGATTCAGAAATACCAAAAGCTATGTTACCACTGCTGTAGCCATTTCTCCAGAATCCCCTTCATAGGTTCTAGAGTAGAAAGGCGACACATTCATGACAATGATATGTTTCATCTAACATCTTACATGACATAGAGATAGTGTGGTCATTAGTCAACATTTGTTCTTTAACTTGCTCTTTCTTCCAAATTGAGAAGTGTTATTGGCTGTAGTAACCATTTGCAGATTTCCATGGATATAATAGCTTCTTATCACCACTCTTTTCAGGTTCACTAAGAATCTTTCACCGGACAAAATCAATTTGAGCACCCTGAAAGGGGAGGGTCAGCTGACCAACCTGGAGCTAGATGAAGAGGTTCTACAGAATGTGCTGGAGCTTCCCACCTGGTTAGCCATCACTCGGGTCTACTGCAACAGGGCCTCCATCCGGGTGAGAATGGGGGTCAGGGTCTTGTTGCTCTCTTTGGCCAGCAGGCCTGCCTTTTTGTGGGGTGGCTCCCACAGCCCTGAGTCTTTGCTTTCCTATTTCAGATCCAGTGGACAAAGCTGAAGACACATCCTATTTGCTTGGTAATGGCCTTTCTTGATTGCAAGTAATCAAATGGGGATGGAGGCGGGTATAGTTTTAAAAGATCTGAGAGAAGGAGGGGAGGAGTCCTGATAGGCCATCCTTTTTGGGAGTGTGGGTACTTTTGTCTGACTTGTGAGTGTCTCTCTGAGACACAGTGAATATTGTCTGAGCTTTTTCTGAAACTACTGTGCAGTAGAGCAATGAGCGCTGAGACACAGACCCAGGAATCCTGAGTTGGTTTTGTTTGTTTTGTTTTGTTTTTATAACAAGTTTTGCTGCCCAGGTTCTACCTTTATGTTTCCTCTGGATTCTTGACAGAGGGAAAATTAGAAGGTTAGTTCATGTTGGCTGTTGGGTGATTATCAGCTGAAAGCCCCTTAGGAACTGATTGATACATATCTTTATCTGAAACACTGGAATCCCCAGGAATAGTATTATCTCTGTAACTTGGATTTTTGTTTTCATTTTCTGATGTGAGCTAATCCCATGCTTGTCATGGAGTTCTGCTGTTGTTGGAAATAGAAGAGGGTAGACGAAGCCTCTCTTTGCATTTCAGTTTGTTAATTCATTCAGTCGACAAACGTTTATTGTCTGCCCACTGTGGGCACAGCACTCAACTAGGTATTGGACCCCAGAGATGAATATAACACAGACTGTGTTGTGTGGGTTTTTGTGCAGATGCTCAGCTCTCCATGGCTTTCATTTCAGTGTCTGGATAAGGTAGAGGTGGAGATGAAGACATGTGAGGAACCTCGGCCTCCCAATGGACAGTCTCCCATTGCCCTTGCTTCAGGACAGAGGTTAGTTGCTTTGGATCCTGTTATTTCTAGCATATTAACTGGTCCAGATCACCTTTTGGTTAAAATATTAAAGCTTTTTATTATGGAAGCTTTAAACATACACCAAAGTAGAGAGAATAGTATAATAAACTCCCATGCACCCAAGATCTGACTTCTACATTTATCAACATTTAACCATTTTCTTTCTTCTGCCACTTTGTGTATGTGTATAGTACTTGAAAGCAAATCCCAGATACCATATGATTCCATCTGTAAATACTTCTGTTTATGTGTCTTTAATAGAGAAGGATTGAGAAGAAAGGAAAAAAGCCCCACAATACTATCATCACAATTAACAGAATTAGTAGGAATTCCTTAATATCATCTAAATCTACTTTCTGTGTATTTTCTAATCATTCCATAGAAGTGGAATCATATGTTACGTGGTCTTTTCTGATTGGTGTCTTTCACTTAGCATGTTTTGCTATGTTATAGCACATATCAGTGCTCTATTCCTTTTATGGCTGAATAATATTCTGTTGTATGGGTATACCACATTTTATTTATCCATTCATCAGTTGATGGACAGTTGATTTGTTTCCCCTTTTTTGCTAGCGTATTTTGGGATAGATTCCTGAAAGTGTGACTGCTGGGTCAAAGGGCAAATGCATGTGTAATTTTGATAGACATTGCTAAATTCCTCTCCTTAAGGATTTTATGATTTTGTGCCTCTATCAGCAATGTTTTAAGAGTTCTTGTTTTCCCAGAGCCTTGCCAGTTGAGAATATTGTCAGACTTTAAGACTTTTGCCTAATCTAATAGATGCTGCATGGTATTTCAGTGTAGTTTTTTGGTAAGTTATATTGAAGTGTACAAACCATAAATGTATAGCTTAGTGATTCTTTACATTGTTAACACATCAAGACACAGACTACTTCCAGAATCCCATAAGCCTTTTGTGTTCTTCCTAGTCATACCTACCCTTAAGGATAATTTTTATCCTGATTTTTAACACCATACATTTGTTTTCCCTATTTTTAAAGTTATGTAAATGTAATCACATAGTATGTCATACTCTGTCTCTACCTATGTTAGCTCAATATGTTTGTAAAAGTCATCTGGATTGCTACATGTAGTTATAGTTTATTCATCCTCATAACTGTATATTATTCCATTATATGCCACAATTATCCATTCTGTTGTAGATGCCCATTTGGTTTGTTTCTAGTTTCTGGCTATTAAGCATACTGTTGTTATGTGGAGCTGTTCTCTAACATGACTGTGCTGACTCTATGCGTTTGTCAAAACCCTAGACATGTACACCACAAAGAATGAACTTTTCTGTATGTAAATTAAAATATGTAAGAAAAAAGAACAGTGCTGCTATGAGCATTCTTGTACATAACTCTTGGTGAACATATGTACACATTTTTGTTTTATGTTTATCTAGCAGGGTCATAGGCTGTGCATATGTTCTGCTTTAGGATATACTGCTAGACAGTTTTCCGGAGTGCTTGTACCACCTTCTCCACTAGCAGTGCATCAAAGTTCCTGTTGCTAGCATTTAGTATTGTCTCTTTTTTTACTCTAGCCACCCAGTAGGTGTATACTTGTCTCACATTATGATTTTTGTGTGTGTGGTAGGGAGGTAATTGGTGGAGGTACTGGAGATTGAACCCAGGACCTTGTGCATGCTAGGCACACATTCTACCACTGAGCTATATCCTCCCCCATCACATTATGATTTTAATTTACATTTTTTGATGATTGGTTTATTAGAATTTTGGATATCCTCTTTCACAAAGCATTGATGTATTTTTCCCATTTATCTTTTGGATTATTTGTCTTTTTCTCATTAATTTGTAGAAGTTCTTTATATATTCTGGAAACAAGTCCTTGGTTACATACATGTATTACAAATATCTTCTACTCTATGGATTCACTTTCACTCTTAATGTTGGTTTTTTGTTAATCCAAAATTATTTATTCTAGTGTAGTCCTGTATATCTATTTTTCCCTTTATGGTTAGCACTTTTTGTGTTTTGTTTAAGGAATCTTTTCCTATCCTAAGGTGTGAAGATATTCTATGTTTTTTTCTAACTTTATTCTTCTAGCTTTATTATTTGACCTTTCACATTTAGATCTACAATAAATCTTTTTCTTTAATTGAAGTTTAGTTTACTTACAATGTTGTGTCATTTTACAATCAATCTTGAAACTTTTTTTTTGTTTGTTTGATGTAAGATAGAGGTTAATATTATTTTTTATCTTCATGGATATCCTCAAATTGACCATGCGCCATTTGAAAAGACAGTCTTTTCATACTCACAGACATAGAAAACAAACTTATGGTTACCATGGGAGAAAAGGGGTGGGAAGGGATAAACTGGGAGTTTGAGATTTTCAGATACTAACTACTATATATAAAATAGATAAACAATGTTTCTATTGTATAGTACAGGGAAATATATTCAGTGTCTTGTAGTAACCCATCATGAAAAAGAATATGAAAAGGAACATATATGTATGTATATGTATGACTGGAACATTATGCTGTACATCAGAAATTGACACAATATTGTAAACTGACTGTATGTCAATTAAAAAGAATCATCCAAAAAAATTTTACCCTTGAGGTACCTCAACAATTATCTTCTTCTGGACACATTTCATTTTCTTTCAGTTTTTCTTGATATGGGATATAACTTATTTTTTTAAATTTTGTGGTAAAAGTTTTATAAAGTGCTGTATGTCGTGTTTCTTAAATTGAATATGCATATATAATTTAATGTTTTTTTCATCATCTACTCATTGCAAGAAAATAATATGAAATAAGACTATAAACAAAACTAGATATAATCTTTACTAATCTCCATATGGGAGAAATCTGCAGTAAATAAACCAGCATATAGATTAATAGTCTCACTTCAAAGCTATTATATGGAAAATTGGAGTTTTGACATGTCAAATAAATATTAAAAGCAAAAAAACCCAATCTTTTCCATACTGCACTGTCACTTTTGTCCTAAGTCAAATGTCTCTCAGTGTAGTTTTGATATATATGAATAAGGTTGAACATCATTTTATGTTTAATATCTATGCGCATTTATTTTTCTGTTAACTGTCCCTACTTTGTCCCATTTTTATTGAACTCTTGGTCTTTTTCTTCTCAGTTTTTTGAAACTCTTTATACATTAGAGATATTAGCACTTTGTGATATAAATTGCAAAGATACACACACACACACACACACACATATATATATGTATTTTTTTAGCTTGTAATTCCTAGACCACCTTTTTACTTGCAGTGAGAACTGATTTCACCTACACATCAAGAATGTCTATATTTCTCACATCCAGAAGGACTTTAAGATGGCCTTCATTCCTCTCCCTGCCATTTCTGACCTCTCACTGTGAAGTACAGCTGTGCTCTTTGGGATCTATTTGACAGGGTAGAGGTGGGGCTGTTCTTGACTGGATTTCACAGTATTAAACGTCATGCTCACCTGGCTGTACTTCTTTTCTCTTTCCACTGCCTTTGCTCTGCCTCTGAAGATGTTATACAAACCTAGTGTTTCCTTTCTGTAGTTAAATCTCCCTTCACAGACAATATTCAGATATGTATTTGTGTAGTTTGTGGACTGTGAATTTATTCAATTTATTCCTTCTAACAGAAGGGAGATTGTTTCCAGGTCAACCTTTTCTTTTATTCTATCCTTTAAAAAAAATCCCATTAAAAAGAGTACAGCATCATTGTAAAATATTTTAGAAATTTACAAAATATAAGAAGGTAGAAATGGGAGGAGAGAAATAAAGAAAAAAATAATTATCCACAGATCTAGTACCCAAAGACAGGCATTGTTAACAGTCTTGTGTGATGTCTTCTAGTATAAAGAGTGTTCATAAAGTCTCACATGATTCTGAACATTGGTCTACCTTGTGTGTCATAGTGAGTATGGCTTTGCCGAGAAGGTGGTGGAGGGGATGTTCATCATCGTCAATTCCATTACCATCAAGATTCACTCCAAGGCCTTCCACGCTTCTTTTGAATTGTGGCAGCTCCAGGGCTATAGTGTCAACCCCAACTGGCAGCAGAGTGACCTTCGCCTCACCCGCATCACTGACCCCCGCCGAGGAGAGGTGACAACTCTGGCATTGCAAAAGGGAAAAACAGAGGGTTCAAAGTGAGGCTGATTCTTAAAGGTTATCATTCCTCTTTTGGAGATTTCCTCAAATGCTCCCCATTCCTGGGAACCCAAGAATCCCTTCTGTCCAGTGTTACTGTTACATCCTTTCCTTGGTTATGAATCTCTGATCCACTGCCTTTTGTGGGTAGGAGCCCTCTTGAGAATGGTGGGAGTCTCTGCCTTGCCAGTCTTTCCCCCTTGCCTGTTGGTTAATTTCATCCACAGAATTAAGGCATTTTACCTTCTCTCCTTCTAGGTTTTAACATTTAAGGAAATAACTTGGCAAACACTTCGAATTGAGGCATATGCTACAGACAATGGTGATCAGGACCCAGTCACCACTCCACTGAGACTTATTACCAACCAAGGCAGGATCCAAATAGCCCTGAAGAGAAGAGTGAGTGTGTTCTCTGTCCTCATGAAAACTTCCATCTTTAATTTTTCTAGACAGCCTGGGAGTTGGTGTTTCCTCTTTTTTTAATGTTATTGGCCCCTGGAATGACATTTGAAAGGGGAGGACCCACAGTTCAGTGTTGCACTGTATCCACCAATGAGAGAACATTTCTACCTCCCTGGCATTTTAATTTTGGAAAACACACTTTTTACCCTGACATATATAGGGACACTGACATAGACACCTGGCCGTTGACTACTGCTGCTTCTTGTTAATCACAGAGAACTTTAGAGACTTTGTAAGAAATTGACTCTCCAAGGTGCTTGATACTTTCCTTTCATGTGCTGGGGATTAAAAAGCCATCTCTGAAACTGATTGGGCAGTAGTCAGTTTGAGGAGTTGGAATGGTACCAGATGTTGAACCATGTGTTCTGTGTGGCCCCTTCAGACCAAAGATTGCAATGTGGTAGCCTCCAAGCTGATGTTCCTGTTGGATGACCTGCTCTGGGTGCTAACTGACTCGCAGCTCAAGGCTATGATGAAATATGCAGAGTCGCTGAGTGAAGCCGTGGAGAAGTCAGCCCAGCAGAGAAAGAGCCTGGCCCCTGAACCTGTACAGGTTAGAGGCAAAATAGATACCCTTGGTGGGAGTGGGGAGATGGTAGGCCAGACCAAATTCATACCAACATAGGTAGGGTCTAGACTTTATTAGGTTTATTTGGGGAATTTGTCATTCACTTCTGGATGTGCATAGGCTTTGCCTGTACCTCTGATTTATTCATTTATTTTGTTTATTGGGTGCCTCTAGTGTGTTAGGTATACAGTACAAGTCGTTGGAAAGCCTCGTGTTCCTGTCTTTGGAGTTCTCACTGCCTTAAAATATGGAGCATAAACAAGTTAGTATGGTGTGATAAGCGCTGTAATAGAGATAAACACTGTGGCATGAGAGCACAAAGAAGAGGCATCCAACTATCAGGCTGAAAGTAGACATTTAGGGAAGAATTCCTGGAGGAGGTGTTTTAGCATCAGTCAGCTAGGTCCTGGGGAGTGAGAGCTTAGAAGGCAATTCAAATCTCAGAAAAGTACTCAATAGTCATTAGACTAGTTATAATTGGGCTTTTTGGAGCTTGGGCTATTTAGGTGGAACAGACTTAAAACCCAGGTGAAGAATTATTAGAGGGAAAGGACATCTTATCAAATTGTGGTTTTCTTCAAGCTGAACTGAAGCTTAAAGAAAGCCAGCAGGGAAGCTCTCTGGGCCTGGACTTCCTGTTTTTCTCTCTGTCACATGTAGATCACACCGCCCGCTCCCAGTGCCCAGCAGTCCTGGGCCCAGGCGTTTGGTGGCAGCCAGGGCAGCAGCAACAGCAACAGCAGCCGCCTCAGCCAGTACTTTGAGAAATTTGATGTGAAAGAGTCCTCTTACCATCTCCTCATCTCCCGCCTGGATCTGCACATTTGTGATGATAGCCAGCCCCGAGAGCCAGGTACCCCGTGAGGCCTGAGCCTGGGCCGGGTGGTCCATCACTGCCTTCAGCTTTGAGCAAAGCTTGGGGATGCAAGGCTCTTTTCAAGACTTGTGGCATATTTTGGTTGGCTTCCCTTAATCACAGGGCTTCCTTGGGCCTCAGTGCTCCTGTGACAGCTCTCTGTTAGTGCTCTTCAGCCCTTAGGGTGCAGCAAAACCAGCTGTGATACTTAATAAATTACAGGCGCTGGGACTCTTCCCAGACTCCACTAAATGAGAGTCTTCAGGGGTAGAGCCCAAGCAGGGTATATATATTTTTTCTTCCCAGTGTCCTGTAGTCAATGCTGTCCACTGGTGTCAGCTTTTAGGAGAGTAAATTCAACCATAGGAAACCTCAGAATTTTCAGATTTTTGATTGAGTTTAAATAGTTATTATGTGTGAATGTGTTCTTCCCATGTAGAGAGGTTGTGCTGTGTTCTTCTCATACCTTTTTGTTCATTAGAGCAATTGGTATTACATATACATTTATTCAAGATGAAAAAGTAATCAACTCATTTCTTTCCTTATGAGCCTTAGGGGAATTGCTTCATCTCTCTGAGTTTCTTCATTTATGAACTCGAGTTAAATCATATCTTACTTGTTTACCTCAGATTGTTATCAAGCTCAAATGAAATACTGAATTTAGAGGACCTTAATCATAGGCAAATAATTTGGTATTATTATTTCTCCTCTGCCTGTTCCTTCAATTCTCTTTGTTCTGTCTCTGCTCCCCTTTGCCATCAGCTCTTGGTTTTAGATGCTGTCATATTGTTCTCCTGCTGCTTTATCCTCTCTGACGGTTATGTTTGCCTCTTAATGAGACCCAGGCTCATTTTCCTTGGGGGAACCTACTATTTTTTCTTCCTGAGGCACTGAACACTATTGCTTCTCTTGCCTTTCTATGCCTTGTCTTGAAATGACTTCAGCCCCTCTCTACTCCCAATATGGAGGAGCTGAAAGGACCAGTGACAGTGTAAAGATTGCTTTTGTCACCACTAGAAATAAATTGCTCACTGGTTTGCCATCCACTCATTCTAGAATTTCTCTGCTAAAACAAATTATTGTTTTGTTTGTTTTTTTTCTCCCAAGTATTTCTATAAAGAATTTGAGGTTTTTTTTTAATCCTTTCAGAAATCTTTATTAAGAATACATTATAAAGAGTTTCATCTTCTTGCTTGATGTGGGCTTTGTAGCACTATTCTCTTCATGTGGCAGGGTCCTGTAATCCACACTAAGATGTGAATGACTGGCCTTCTCTGAAGCCCCCATAAGCTAAATTAATCTACTTGGTGGAATTTAAGGAAGGTTTGGATGAGACATTTTTAGATAGGGGATAACTCCCAGCCTGCCATACCCAGGTGTAGTGTATGACTCTGTGAAGGGGCAAGGAACACAAAGAGTTCCTGTGACTTTGACTCTTCCAGCTGGATTTGGGAAGAATGGGGAAGGGAGAACTAGGTATTATAGAAAGGGCTGTAAGATTCTCTGGAGTTGTTCTGTCCAATATGGCAGCCACTAGCCACATATGACTATTGGACACTTGAAATATTGGCTGATTCAAATTGAGATGGGATGTAAGTGTAATATATACATGGGACTTCACAAGTATAGTACAAAAAAAGAGTGTGAAATATCTTGGTAATTATTTTCATATTGATTACATGTTGAAATGATATATTTTGGGTATATTGTGTTTAAACAATGTTTAGTATTAAAATTAATTTCACTTAAAATTTTTTTTCATGTAACTACTAGAAAATTTAAAATTACATATGTGGCTCACATGTTCCTTTTGGATAGTGTTGCTCTGGAACTCTCTGTCCAACATGGTAGACAATAGCCACATGTAGCTATTTAAATTAAAATTAAGTAGAATAAAAAATTCAGTTCCTTATTTGCATCAGCCACATTTCAAGTTCTCATTATAGTCTGTGGACCATAGAAGATGTCCATCATCACAGAAAGTTCTTTTGGACAGTGCAGACTCCTTGAAGGCTACATCTACCTGCTTTTTCACTACGGGACACTATAGCCTGGATGTTGGGGCCCCTGACTAACATGCTCATCTTTCCCTTGTTATTGGAGGTGAAATTATTTGGAAGTTGGGTTGTTGGGGACAGTTTGGCTTGAAATGGAGCAACACTGTCTCTTAAAATCAAAGTGGAGCAGCTGATACTTCAGGCTCCTGGGGCAGAGCCTGGTGATTGATAGGGAAAAGAGTTTCTTCTGCCTCTTTTTAACTGTTTCTCTCAGGATAAGGGCTGTGAGCCAAAACTGTCTTTATCTCTCATAAGGCTGTGTTGTTCTCTTTCCACCAGGTCACTGGAGAATTTTAATTAGTCATTTATATACACTGTTTACTATTTATGTCTCATATATTATTATGTGTTTATAATTAAATATGTTGGTAATTAGTAATTGTATTTGATTTCAGTTCTAGACCTTATTTTAATATGCTCAGTCTGTGTAGTTTATTCTTTTAGTTCCAAATAAATCCAATAGAGGGAGCATGACTGTGAAATCTTCTCCCTCCTGTAGCCTAGGGCATGCATTTTCAACTGGGATGATATCACCCCACAGTAGGTAAAATTTCACTCTTTTCTATTAAACAGCTTTATTGAGATATAATTCACATAGCAGACAATTCACCCATTTAGAATATACAACTCATTGTTTTTAAGTATTTTCATAGGGTTGTGTGATCATCACTACAATCTGATTTTAGAACATTTTTGTCATTCCCTAAAAGAAACTTTGTACCCATTAG